TCTCTCTCTCTCTCTTTCTGATCAGTGATTTTCTTTTTTTTTTAGGTTTTCTTGATGGGAATGTGGTTTACTGCTCACGGTTTTTTCTATTTTTTTTTTTGGGGTGGAATGTGGTTTCTAGGATCCGGATCTGGTATTTTCTTTAAATGCCGTTACATCTTATGCTCTTCTGGTTTCATCGGAAGCAACTCTTCTCTTTGTCGTGATTACATGTGGTATTTTCCTGTGTTTTTTATTTGATCTCTGTTTTTCTTTTTCGGCTTTGCCCATCAGTAGTGCAAGATTATGTTTCACATGTGTCTGCAATGTTATCATTGATTTGGTTTGTAAATGAGATTTCCTTTTCATTGAAAACGATATTAATGGAAAAAATTGTTGATGTGTTGCTTTATTTTCTAAGGCCCACCTGCATTAATTGTCGCTTTTCTTGCCCATTCTTCCTTCTCTATTGCTTTTAAAAGATTATTTTTTACTTTTGAGAAATTTTAAAAGATTATTCGTATGTCTCTAACTCCAATATATTTACATTATTGTTTTAGCCTGCTGCATTTTCTGTTTTATATTTTTTTTCCTATTTCATATTTAACATTGGACTGGAGAGATCTTTGTTTATTTCTTTTTTTGTATAATCTGGCTGCAAAATCGAACAGGTTAACCGGACATGGGCCTCGGTTTATGCGGCCGATTCAACCGCTCTAATCGGAGCAAGGGGCGGTAAAAAATAAATAAATAAATACAAAAAAATCTACTAAAATATAAGAAGCATATAAAAAATGACTAAAACAAAAAACATTCAAATGAAGTTGAAAATTGACGAAAAAAATGAATTTTAACCCATTTTATATTTAAAAATATATTACAAATCAAATTCCTTAAGTTTTAGAACTTATATACATTTTTTTGAATATTTTTTTAAAATACCGGTTGATGACCCTAAACCGGCCACTGTCCGGTTTCGATCTAACTGGGTGGTTAGCAGTTAGATCGAGCAATTTTGCTAACAATAATCTGGGCATGTAGTTTTACAAGGATGGCTACGCTTGAACCATCCATTTGAATAGTGTACTAGAGGGTCGAAAGTTTATCACCACCATCCATTTGGAGATTTGATACATTATTTGTCATTCCCTTGTCCCCATTGTGTGCTTTTTCTCTTTTTGTTTTCTTTGTTTTGCAAAATTTCTTTATGGACTATCCTTCCCTTGATTCTGAGCCCTATATCTTGAGGTAATTGGTTGTCTTTTCCTTTGTTTTAACGGAATGGGATTTTTTTGTTTTTGTTTTTGTTTTTGAATTGCAGCAATATCTAATCTTGAAGTAGTTTGTAATAATAATGTAGATTGACATGTGGATTGATGTTTTATAGGGACAACAATTGATCAGGGGATTGCTTACGTGCTGATGTTGGTGGCCTTGGTCCTCACTTACCTCATTCATCCGCTCAACCCTGCTGAGCCTTCCTCTCTCTTCTGAAGAGAGAAACAGCCTCCCCCCCTCTCTCTTTCTCTATGTATCAAAATGTCTGGTTGGTTGCACTCCTTTTGATGGTTTTTGATGGCTTGTCTGTGCTGTTATTCTATCTTTCTCTTGTGAGTTTTTTTGTTATTTTTATTTTATGTTAATTCACATTGACTTGGTTGTTATAGTTTTCTCTTGGAGGACCTCTAAGAGCTTAGGGCAGACATTTATTTTTTGGGCAGGCTTTTCTATATTTCTGCCTCTACACTATTTTATTTTTAATTTTTTTCTGCGAGACACTAAATTTTGGTCCTCTTAAACTCTCGTATTAAAAAAAAAAAACCCAATAAAAAAAAATGTTCATAATTCCCATAAAAGTTTTAGGGGTATTTTGGTCGTATTTTTATCAAAAATAAATTTTAATATTTCTTTAGATCTTCTTATCAAATTTCATATTCATATGATTTGTAGAAAAAATTAAAATAAAGTACTCATGTCGGATTTAGATCAAATAATCAGTGGTTCATATTCATATGATTTGTGGAAAGAATTAAAATAAATACTGAGTTGGTTTTAGATCAAACGGTCAGCGGTTCTCTTCTCTTTTTTATCTTTTTTACTCACGTCCATTGATCACTTTTCTTCTATCTGAAATGAAGTTCATTTAGTGGTTTATATATATTTTTAATTGATTTTTATGTATTTTTAATTGATTTTTTGTTATTCATATTGATCCAGATTGGGATTGCCCCAGAAATGATTCTGTTCTTGGGCTCTCTAGTGGTTAGTGCGCCTGAATCCCACTTGATGTTTGGTTAACCCCACAACGAGTTTTTTCAAAGGAAAAAAAAGTGTCAACCTTATAGAGTTAAGTAAGACGCACCCACGCTAATTCAAAACCCTGAGTGTGTTATAATGCTGGAACACCCTCAAGTTAATCTGGATTTTTGGTTGTCTTTTCCTTTGTTTTTGTATGGAAGAAAAGTGTAAGATTTCAAGTCACGAAAGTAGTACATCTTAAGGTGGAGATATAAGGTCGAGATATGGATATAGAAGAAAAAAGAAATTTAAGTTTTGAAATTAGTACATTGTGATATATTTTATGGATTGTTTATATATTTGCTTGATCTATAGCATTTTTGGAGCTTTAAATTTTATAAAAAGGGAGGATAATAAATTTTTAAGCTTTAAGTTTTATAAAAGAAAGTTAACAATAGGTTTTCATGTAATTGCAAAGATTTTTGGTATTGAAATTGCATCTTTCATGATGTTATAAAGTTGCACCTTTCTTTAATTGTTTAAAGTTGTCTTATATAATAACTCTCTCCCCTTTTTAAATAAAAAAACTTGTATGATAGTTTGTTTTAAACCTTAAGAACATAAAATTGAGAGTACAAGGGCACGTATTTGATTTGCCTTTTTCTCAAGGTTTAAAACAAACCAAAACAATATGTTAATTAATTTTTATGTTAGCTCAAACATAACAATAAAATTTAATAAATTATATAGATATGACAATGTTATAAAGTGTGAATATAAGAAAAGTTTATATAGGGCCTTGTTTCTACACAATCAAATTAGAGTGTACCTCAAAAATTTCACTAGAGAGGTGGTTTTGTTGCCCAAATATCCTCAAATTGATAATCTCGACATTAAGATGCATGGATTTGAGAAAAAAATAGATTACAACTTTTGGAAATAATGTATCTTGTAATGCATTTTTGGACAGTCAATTTTAAAGTTAGTCAATTTTAAGTTAGTCAAGCTTCCATAGATCTGTCTTATCTAGCTTTAAATTTTATAATCAAGTATAAAAAATATATTTTAAGGTTGGTAAAAAATTTCTAATATTGGAACCACTTTTCTCAACACTATATTGCCTCGGATTTATATAAATTGCACCCATAAAGTAATTTAGATCATATTAATCCGACTCATTAATAAAATTAAATGATAGCCATAAATGATTTCTAAAATACAAAATTTAATAATTAGATTATTTAATTTAAATAAATTATGAAAAGGCAAATTTTTTTTTAAAAAATTACAAGATATTCTAGAGAAGTGGAGAACATAAAAAAGTTAATTATGAATAATGAAAATATACAATTGAAAATAATAGTTATTCAAAAGTCTCGGAATGCATAATGTTTAAAAAGAATATAACATACAAAATGATATAATCATATTAGGAATTACAAATTGCTAACTAAACCTTTAAAAGGAGTCGCTTTTTTAATGCCAGAATTATTAATTAAAAGTTCTATCAAAATGAATTTGAAAATTTAGATAGTTCATAATAAAAAATTTATAGCAAAGTATTAGAAAAAATACCGATATTTAAAAATACAATGCTAGCATGCCTTGCGGTCCACTTAGATTAGCATTACCTATCATCCAAAGAAAGTGGATTTAATTCTTACTTCAAGGAGAATAATTAGTTCATAAATAATTGACTTAAAAAACTAATTTATAAAAACATTATAAAAAATTAATGGTAAAGTATTGAAAGGAAAATACCATCATTTGATAATACGAGATCACTCTTCTTTTCACCTTACTAAAGGGTTTGTTATTCAGCTGGAGCAAGGTTCTAGCCCAAACAGTGGTGCAGGTTGCAACCTTTACAAAATACATGGTAGGAATTTACAATATAAAATCAAAGCATAGATTTCCACGAACTTGGTGAGATTTGCATGTTTGTTGAAATACTCTATAGTTAACAAAAACATTAAAGTAATAAATCTAAAGATAAACATGAGTGTTTTATCAAATGCTTAAAAATTATTCAATACAAATATTAATTAAATTAATGTTGTGGGGAGAAAATAAAATGAGAATAATAAAAACCAAAAAAAAAAAGAGTTGAGAGAATAGACACTCTTAAGATTTGCAAAGGAATCCACACCAAAACGATTTTTTTACACAATCAAATTTACTTTGTTCTTATTCTCTGATTTTTTTACCATGAAGGGACATTTCTCTTTTAAATAAGAAAAAAATAAAGCAAATAAAAAACCCAATGAAAATAATCTGCCCTCTCTCTCTCTCTCGCTCAATATCTTTGTTTATTGAAATAAAGAAAGTTACCTAAATGGGATTACATGGTCAAAACTAGTAAACGAAAGCAAAGAAGCTCTCCTTTTATCTAAAACATCTTCCCTTTTATCTAAAACATCCACTAAATAGTTAGCTTCCCTAAAAATATGCCAGAAAGACAGTCAAATTTTCTACCAAGTCAAGAGTATGTAGCCAAATTGATTTAAGCTCCCAATGAACCTTTTGCTCTTTGTTGGACCACCTAGTAGCATCCAAAGAGTCCCCTTCTATCACGCAATGGTTGTTCTAATTTTTGTTACAAAAAATCTTTAGACCATGAACAATGGCAAACATTTGCAATTGTTTCACCTAACACCTAAGGGCCCAACACATGTGAATACAATTTGACCATTCCAATCATGAACAATGCTTCCGAAACCAGCCAAACCTGGATTTCCAAATGGGTTACCATTAAAATTTAGTTTTAGCATCCCTTGTGGAGGTGGAGTCCAAAAACTCCTTGGCTTGCTACTGACCACTCCCATGGTCAATAAATTTTGGAGATTAAACATCACATCCACCTCAATAATAGCCTTTCCCTCCTTTGAGGCTGCCGACCAATACCATAAGGAGTGTTTTATTTTATTAATAACCCAATCAGAAGGAAGGCTCTCCCTTTTTATTTCGCTCCTTTTAAATCTCCCACATTTGAGGCGAATGCATTTTAATTTCCAAAAGTAAGAAAAACCAAGACCAAATCCTAATAGCAAAATGGCAGTGTAAAAACGAATAGGCACAAGACTTGCATCTTCCTTGTACATCACATAAATAGTTGGCAAAATTTTCTCCCTTTTAATCAAGTTATCAATGGCAAAGATCTTATCTTGGGCAGCCAACCATATAAAAACTTGAACTTTATGAGGTACTAGCCATTTCCAAATTTGGGCTACTTGTAGCAAGGTCGATCGCCATCTATCATGGAATAACAACTTGTAGCAGGACTTCACAGAAAAAACCTTATCACTTTCATACTTCCATATGATCTCATATTCCGAATTATGTGGGATATACACTTTGTGCAAAATATCCAGCCAAGAGCTTAACTACAAAATAAGAGCATCACAAAGCCTATTGTAAGGAAAATTCACACTCAAATGACTTGATTGCCTATACCTTCAAAAACCTCAGACACCTAATTTGGGTCTATCACTTTCTCAAAATTTATGGAAACATTAGCTTCAGAGAATAGTTCCAAACTCACTTATGGTGTCAAAAGGCAATCTAATCCCCCTTACTGATGATCCATCTTACATTCCTTGCGATCAGAGGTTTACAAAGAGCAATAGGTTTCCAAAAAATGGATTGGTTATTGCCCCGGCTAGGCCCTAGCCACATTCCTTGTCTTTCAATACTATATTTTGCTGCCAGAACTTTATACCACAGCTGATCTTTAAAAAGGAGATTTCACCACCACTATTTACAAAGAAGAGCTCGGTTTACCAATTTTATTTTTTTAATACCTAAACCATATTTTCTTTTTGGAGTACAACCTATCCCATCTTAGAATATAATATTTTCTTTCGTCCCCAAAAGTACCCCACAAGAAATTCCGCATTATCCTTTCAATTTTTTTAACAATTAATGTGGGCAATTGAATGATTGACATCTGATAAATGGGGAGATTAGCGAAACATGATTGAAGGCAAGTAGCTCTTCCCTCAAAGACGAGTATTTAGGTTTCCGAAGATCCAACTTCACTTGAATCCTTTGAAGAACCTTATCCCAAACTGAACAAGATAATCTCTTATATGAGATAGGCAATCTCAGATAAGTAAGAGGGAAGTGATCTACCCTATACCCATATAGCTTTTGCTAACTCTTTTATTACAATCTCAACCATAGATGTCTTATTCAAATTAACTTTCAGCCCAAGAGCCACTTCACAACAATTAAAAAATGTGACAATATTATTTACTAGTGCTAAATTTGCCCTATAGAAAATGAGTGTATCATATGCATATTGCATATGAATGTCGTGAAATTAACTATTTCCTCTATATTTTTCATCAAACTAAAGCATTCAATAATGTAAGGTGAACATAAAGGATGACAATAGATCTCCTTATCTTAGAGATTTAGAAGCGCTGAAGAAACCTGAAGGGCCTCTCTTGAAAAGAACAGAAAAAAAAAAACTAAGTGGAGAGGAGTGGTGTT